CTCTCTCTTCCCCCCTTCCCAATTCACTGCCCCTCTTCCCCAATCTTCTCTCTCCTCCCTACTCTCTCGCCCCCTCCCAGAGAGAGTGTGAATAGAGGGAGGGAGTGTATGAGAGTGAGTGTGAATGAGAGAGTGAGAGATTGGGAGACATAGGAACATAGGTAAGAGAGAGAGAGAGAGAGAGTGCCTGTGAGAGGGAGGGAGGGAGGGAGTGAGGGAGGGAGTGAGCGAATGAGACAGAGTGAGTAAAAGAGTGGGAGACATAGGAGAGAGGGAGTGTGAGAGAGTGAGAGAGAGAGAGAGGGGTGTGTGGGAGACATAGGAACATAGGAGAGGGGGGAGAGTGTGAGAGAGAGTGACAGGGTGGGGGTGAGAGAGGGGTGGTGGGGGTGAGAGAGAGAGAGAGCGAGAGAGAGAGAGGAGAGAGAGAGCGAGAGAGAGAGAGAAGGTGGGGGTCACTGCTGCCCTATTATTGGGTGGGGTGGGCCAGTCGGTTATTATGTTCCGAGTGTATTTGAGCTCGTGGTCCTCCGCTGTCCAACAGGAAACCATTCAGCAGCTGGAAAACGAGCTCCGAGGAACCAAGTGGGAAATGGCTCGTCACCTGCGGGAATACCAGGATCTCCTGAACGTCAAGATGGCTCTGGATATCGAGATCGCTGCCTACAGGTAGCGGAATCTCTCTCGCACTCTCTCTCTCTCTCCCTCTCGCCCTCTCTTTCTCATGCCCTCACTCCCTCTCGCCCCCTCCCTCTCTCCCCCCCCCCCCCCCTCACTCCCCCTCTCTCCTTCTCACTCTCTCACTCCCGCTCTCCCACTCTCTCCGGCCCATCCTCTCTATCTCTCCCTCTCTATCTCTCTCACTCTCTCCTGTGTTCCTATGTTTCTCACACTCTCCCCCACTCCCTCTCACGCTCTCTCTTTCACTCTCTTTGTGTTCTTATGTCTCCCACTCTCTCTCTCCCTCGTCCCCTCTCTCTCCCCCACCCCGTCTCCCCTCACACTCAGTGAAGTCAAAAACCCAAACCCTCCCAATATTTGCCTATTACTATTGTGAAATAAAACTGCAACAAAAGAGCATAAGAAATTGTCGGACGAAAGAAGACAATTAACCTTCCACCGTCCTGGCAGTCGGTTGACTTGTGTATATACTGTATCCCCAGATATTATGGTAATAATAATCCTATAATCCTTGCATTTAATGCAGCACCTTGTTACATCATTGAGACGTCCCAAAGCGCTTCCCAGGATACACTGTAAAGTGAAGTGACTGTATTTTGTGGGCAGAATTGCATACACAAATGGTAGATTGAGTGAGCAAATTATTATGATTTCTTTTTAGCATCTTGAGTTAGAAACTCGGTCTCCTTCCTTCCCCCACCTCCCCACTCACTCTCTCTTTCCTCACTCTCTCTCTCTCGTTCTTCCCTCCCCCATTCTCTCTCTCCCACCTCACACACTCTCTTTCTCCCCTCACTCTCTCCCTTTCTCTCCCCCTCACTCACTCTCTCCTCTCCTCTCTCTCTCCCTCCCAACCATCTCGCTCACTCCCCTCTCCCTCTCCTCCCCACCCCTCTCTCCCTCCCAACCATATATCTCTCTCTATTCCCCACCCCCTCCACTTTACTCCCCTCGGCTCACTCCCCATCTTATTTGAGTCACTCAATCCACGACTGTTTGTGGGGACGCTGCTGTGTGCAGTTGGCTGCAATGTTTGGCCCACAAAATGCACAGTCACTACACTACACAGCGTATTCTGAAAAGCGCTTTGAGACGCCTCGAAGACAGGATAAGGCTTTGTATCAAATGCAAGGATTATTATTGTATTATTACTAATAATACTGTTTTTTTCAGGAAACTCTTGGAAGGTGAGGAATCGAGATACACTTTCTCTGGGAGTATCTCTGGACCCACGTTCTCCTCCTACAGGCAGCCAACCCCACCCTCAGCGCCTAGTAAACTACAGAAGACCAAGGAATTGCCCAAGCTCAAGGTGCAACACAAGTTTGTGGAGGAGATCATCGAGGTTGAAGATGAGAAGATGGAATTGGATGACCTGGATCTGGCTGAGGCAGCCCAGGAATTGGCCGCGGAACTTTCCGTAGGAAAAAACCAACAGGAAGAGGAAGCAGGGAGCGAGGAGAAGGCTGGGGTGGTGGAGGAGACGATCGTGGCCGCAGTCAAGGCGGACGTGCGGGCAGAACCAGAAGCCAAGAGCGAGGGAGAAGCAGAGGAGGAGGAGGAGGGGGGAAGAAAAGTAGAAGAACAAGAGGCTGAAGAGGAGGAAAAGGAAGGGGATGATGGTGGCGATGAGGATGAAAAAGAGGGAGGAGAAGATAAGGGCAAGTCCGAAGATGAAGAGGAGGCTGGAGGAAAGGCTCAAGGCACCGACGCGGAAGCACAAATCGTGGAGGAGAAGATCGAGAGCGTAAAAGCTTCTAAGGAAGAGAAGACCCCACCACAAGTGGCGGAGGATGAAGAGGAGAGCGAAGAAGGAGGTGAGGAAGGAAAAGAAGAGAAAGAGTCCGGCGAGGATGCAGGAAAGGAAAGTGAGGAGGTCGATGCTTCTGAAGATCAGACCAAGGCAGGAGAGGAACCTGCCCCTGAGACGAAGCCAGAGAAAGTTGGAGGAGAAGCGGCCGAGGAGAAATCGGAGGAAGAGAAGGTCAAAGAGGAGGTGAAGCCCAAGGACAAGGAGACTGTCATCAATGGCACGGCCAAGGGAGAGGTGGAAGGAGCTACCGAGGAAAAGGAGGAGGAACGAGGAGAAGGTGATGATGGTGATGACGAAGAAGGAGACAAAGTGCTGGTGAACGGCGTAGATGAGAGTCCTTCGAAGGAAGATGCCTTTGCCGTGAACGGTGCGCGGGACACGCTCTTCGAGACCAAGACCATCTCCAGGATCGTGGACGGAGCTGCGGATGGAGTGACCCAAGAACGAGAGACCATCTCCGTAGACGGTGGGGTCACCAAACACATCCGGGAGTACGTGACCGTGACTCAGACCGTGGAGGAGGGGGAGGATGTGGTCCAGGAAACCACGGTGTCCACCAAAACGGTGGCAAAGGTGTCGCGCACCATGATCACAAAGGAGGAGAGCGACTGAACCGGAGAAAGCCGTAGGCGCTTGAGCGAAGATCGAAGAGGAACTGACATTGGACGGCTACAGATGCATGTGAGTGACAGCTTTCATGGCCTTGAAGAACCTTGAGCATCTCCTCTCTTCGGTGGGGAGGTCTCGAGACACAGTCTTTTACTTTTTGTGCAATAGGACGAATGCATGCGAGTTACCGCTGAGCCCTGTACGGTGGCTGGGGGGGGGGGGGGAAATAAGGGTGGGTGGGTGGTCGGGTGGGGCGGGGGGGCAGGGGGAGAAGAAATCGAGGGGGAGGGAAGGGGAGACAAAGGGGGGGTGGAAAAAAAAAAGCAAGCAAGCAAACAAACTTAACTAACGAACAAGAAACCAGAATTTGAATGCATGAACGAAAGAAATATGCACTGAAAATAGTCACACAACAAATAGCCCCCAACCCCCTCCTCTCCCCCACTCCGGAGTTCTTCCGAACCTGCTGAGGTGCGCTATTTTTTTTTTCCTTCTTCTTCTTCTTCTTCTTCCGAGCGAACGAGCGAGCGAGCGAAAGAGTGAGAGACAGTCATGTTATCTTCTCGACGACGTATTATGCAAAGAAATAAAACTGAGCCAAAAAAATACAACACAAAAAACAGAAGAGCGTTTCAACAACAACCCAAAAAAAAGACAAAAAAAAACACACATTCCTTAGCCTTAAACAGCTCATATTGATTGATATATGTTTACCTCACTTGTGCTATTAATATGGGGGTCTTTGACTGGTGCGGGTGGGTGGGTGGGCGGGCGGGCGGGTGGGGTAAATTGGTCATTAACCGATCACGTGACAATTTATGGAACCACATGAAACCTACCGCATTACTTGCTGAATAAAATCATATCCCAAAACATTTTTTCTTTCCCGTGTCCTTCATTTCAACGTGGACGGTCGTCTACCCGAAGGGTTCTTCTTTGTGTGAAGGAGGATGGGGACATCGCACGAATTGTGGAGTTCCCCGGAGCTCAGGGGTGAGAGCCCTCGCCTCGCAGGCGAGAGGGGACCCGGGTTCGATTCCCGGGCGGGTCAGGTCAGGGGCGAAACATTGGGCAAGTTTCCTTACTCCACACACACACACACACACACACAATTGGGGGATCGCTTTCCGGGGATAATAATCCCTTCAAAAATAAATAATAATAATAATTTGGCCACTTCAACCCACGGCTGTTTGTGGGGACACTGCTCTGTGCGCAATTGGCTGCCGCGTTTCGCCCACAAAATACGCAGTCGCTACACTTTACAATGAAGCGCTTTGAGACGTCTCGAAGACGTGACCAGGTGCTGTGTCAAACGCGGGGATTATTATTGTTATTAATAATAATAAACCCAAGGGAAGAGGCAGGAGCTCCATTTGCTCGCCCTTGGGGTTTCAGCACTAACCCCGTTGGACAGTTCCAGTTGGGAGTCCCTTCTCCCAACTGCGACAACAACAACCTGCGTTTCAACAGCGCCCGTCGTAGGGGGCAGCGACTCGGAGCGCTTGACAGTGGCGGAGCCTGAGGCCGAGCCGGGGCAGAGGGCGGGTGGGGGGGCACCAGTCGAACAGGAAGTCCTTCAGTCATGATCTAAACCAGGGGGAAGGTGGGGGCGAGACGGAGGGAATAAGGGGAGAGAGTTCCAGAGTTTCGGGGCGTAGCGGCTGAAAGCGTGGCCGCCGATGGTGTCCGCGAGGGACGAGGGACAAGCAGGAGGCCGGAGCCAGTCGAGGGGAGGCAATGGGGTAGATCGGAGAGGTAGGGATGTGCCAGGCAATGAAGAGACTTGTGGAGGGTGGATGGTGGGGGGGGGGGGGGGGAGTTAGGGAGGGTCTACAGACTTTTTGCACCAAGATATGAGGTGATGGGGGCAAAAAGCGTAACGTATTAAAAACTGCTTCCAGTAATATCAAGCACTACAAACTCTCTCTCTCTCCTCCTCCCCCCCCTCCCCTCCCCCCTCCCCCCCTCTCCCCACTCCTCCCCAAGGACCAAACTCACATCATTAAAGCACTCCAACAGAAGCATTGCACCAAACTTGCCTCTGCTCCAGTGAGAGAGCGAGAACGAGAGCGAGAGCGAGAGAGAGGGCGTGGAAGGAGAAAACTGCTTTGACGACGGGTTTTCAGTCTGAAAGGCTCACAAAATGGGAGTTAAAATGAGTGACTTGTGATGTCGGCTCAGCTCTCGTTATCTCAACCCGAACCGATCGATTGCTTATGAGACAACGCCGGATTGACACGTGGCCAAAGCCACAACCTCTCGTGCCCTTGACATACCCTCCAGGATTTGATATGCCGCACTGCTTTAAGAGCAAAACTGTGCGCTATATTCCCCTCCACTCCCCCTCCGTCTCTCAATTGGTCACTCAATCCGCGGCTGTTTGTGGGGACGCTGCTGTGCGCAATTGACAGCGTCCACAAAGCACACAGTCACTTCACTTTGCAGCGCTTTGAGACGTCTCGAAGACGTGATCAGGCGCTGTATCAAATGCCGGGGTTATTATTATTATAATTATAGCAAACTTTATATGTCTATTAAGTTTCCTGTTTGAAAGGCAATGCAGTGAGATGGTGCAATCCTCGTTTATAGATTAAATGCTCCCGTGAAGTTTTTAAAAACATAAATTGGTTGCAATAATAATAATAATAACAATCCTTGTATTTGACCCGGCGCCTTATCACATCTTCGGGACGTCTCGGAGCTCTTCACAGGATACACTGCAAAGTGGAGTGGCCGTGCGTTTTGTGGGGGAATACTGACTGCAGTGGTTAAAACTTTCTCTCCCTCGGCTCACCCTGTCCTGCGCACGGCTGAAGCACACGTTGGTTGGTTTCTCTGCAGCATTGCAGTACTTTAATAATAAATAACACGCAGCCTTCAGAAAGCAGACGAGGCAAGCCATCCGCGCGCAGACCGAGTGCAACTTTACTTCAATAACTGAATCACAACCTTTATTTTAAGTGTGTGTGTGTGAGTGTGTGTGCGTGTGTGTGCGCGTGTGTGCGTGTGCGTGTGGCGGAGTAGGTCAGGTCAGGAAAGGGGTTTTCAAGCAATTTAATTATCTGAACTCAGCTGTTTTTTTTTAAAAGAAATAAAGATGAAGTAAAGTGAAGCCAGGATAACCTGCAAAAGATCTCTCTCTCTCTCTCTCTCTCTCTCTCTCGCTCACACACACACACACACACCCACACAATCTTGTTCAGTGCGAAAAATTACATTCTATATTTAGTTGTGCGCACAAAAAAATGTTATCAGCAATTTCTCTCTCCCTCTCTCTCTCTTATTGGAGAGAGCTTATTAGTTTAATGTGTTTTCAATTTCAAGCGTTAAAAATAACTTTGGTCACTCAATTCACGACTGTCTGCGGGGACCCTATTGTCCGCAATCGACTGCCCACAAAGTGCACAGTCACTACGCTTTACAGTGTATCCCGTGAAGGGCTTTGAGACGTCTCGAAGACGTGATAAGGCGAATATCAAGTGCCAGGTTTATTGTTATTATAAGTGAGACTGCATTGCGCACTTTCTCTCTTCCTCCCACCCACTCAGTTCGGAGATCTCCAGAGGGTACATTGGCAAAAGAAAAGAAAATGATTACTATTATTATTATTAAGAATCAGTCAGTCGGACACACGCCTTTTGCGTGAGATCTTATTTTACAAAGAAATACAATTTTCATTTCCCCACTCAAAAAAAAGTTAGCAAACTACAAGGAAAATAATAACAACCATAATAATAATAATGATCCTTGCATTTGATATAGCTCCTCATCGCGTCGTCGAGACGTCGCAACGCGCTTCACAAGATACATACAGTGTAGTGACTCCATAAATGGGATAGTGTAGTGACTCCACGAACAGCCATGGAGCGATTAAGCGACCGATTTTATTTGAGGCATTGTCGGGCAGAAAAAGAGGGAGCAAGGGAGAGAAATTCCTTTCTCTTTCCTCGTTGCACAGCGGGAGATCTTTAGCGGTCACCTGAACCTTCTCACAACCCAACCCACCCGAAAAGCAGCGCATAACAAGTCCGCAAAGCTAACCACTTTATTCTTTTTTTCCTAATTCACAGGAGTATTTTATCTATTGCATCGCTCTGCATTGCACCGCCCGATCTCACCACTTTGCCTTTCAAACGGAATAAGTGCGGCCCACGTCTAAAATTGATCAATATTCAAATATATATGTATATATTTATCAACGTTACGAATCATTTGAAATAGCAAGCGCTCTGCGCGCGTGTGTGTGTGGTGCGCGTGTGTGTCTGCAGTGTATGGGGCGAGAGAGCAGAGAGGGCTTTCATTGGAGGCATGAGCTGCAGAGATGTGGACTGATGTATCATTGCTATATTACGCGTTGAACAGCTGTTAAGGGGAGGGTGGGTGTGGGGAGGGGGGAGGAAAGGGGGCAGATTTATTACGCTGCAAACATTGCAGCAAAAATTCTGCATCGATGACGACTGAGGTGTTCCCCACAGTCTGCCCCCACCTCTGCAGTCACTTCTGTTGCTTTATATTTCTTCGCAGCTGCAGTAACGTTAATTAAAGCCCCCAAATACGTGCGTGTGGTGGGTCGGTGGGTGGGGAGTGGGTGGTGGGGGTTGGGGGGGGTCGGGGGGGAGAGAAAGGTGGTGTCAAAGCAGCCCTCGGGGGAAGAAAAAGTCCCTTATCATTACTCATTTGAGTTAATTCCTCCACTGTTAATTACAGTTGTCTGTTTATTTGAGGAGGAGGTTGGTTTTATTTGATTTAAGTGTGTTCGTGTTTCCTTGACTCGGTTTGCTTTCTGTCTGTCGGTTCGCCACACTTCACGAGCAATAGCCCTGCGAAGCACTTTGAGACGTTCCCGGGTTGTGTTTTGAGGGCAACGTACCGAGCGCGAGGATTCTCAGATAGGATGGCCCTGTGTTTGTAACGTAACTTTTTGAAACGTCTGACCATTTCGAGGCAGGTGAGGGCGAAACGTTAGACGGGCAACCAACCCTCCCTCCTACTCCCCAACCTCCCCGCCCTCCAGAGCCTGACTTCCCCCCCCCCCCCGCCCGCCCCCCAGTTCAGGTCCAAATCCCCGACTGTCCAGCGCCTTGGCACGTCCTCCCGACGTGAAAGCCGCCGTGTAGATATCATGCGCTGTTGTTCATCGCTCGTCGTTGTTTACCTGGCAGCGAGTTGGAACCCGGTTGGGGAAAAAAAATCCGTTAATGGGTTAACACAAATATTTCCGAACAGGTTTGTCGGAGCGAGAGAGAGAAGGAAAGAGAGTGAAAGAGAGAGAGCGAGAAAGAGAAGGAGAGTTTGTGTTTGGGGGTGGACGGGGGTTGTCGGGTGGTGAGGGGGAGAAGGGGGGAATGAAACAGAGTTAAATCAAACTAAAGCCATTTAGTCAGTGATGATCAGGAAGATCGGAGATGTTACTGACTAAGTGTTAAAATCAGACGCACACCAAACACCGCGACGTGCTGCTGTTCCGGGGACAATAAATAATAATTTGGTCACTCAACCCACGACGCTGCTGTGCGCAATTGTCTGCCGCGTTTCGCCCACGAAACACACAGTCACTACTCTTTTACAGTATATTCTGTGAAGCGCTTTGAGACGTCTCGAAGACGTGATGAGGCGCTGCGTCAAATGCGAGGATTAGTATTATTTCACCCACAAAACGCACAGTCGCTACACCTTACACTGTAGTCTGCGAAGCGCTTTGAGACGTCGTGACGAATGTGATCAGATCGGTATCGAATGCAAGGATCATTATTATTATTATATGATTATTATTACTGCTACAATCCCCGGATTAAACCATTGGAGCATCAGGTCAGTGAGTGTAACGGAGCAGGGCTTTGGGGTGCGGTGAGCTGGGTGGGAGGGGAATAATAATGTGACATAAATCATCCGCCTCCAATCTTTTATGCTCTACGTATCGTTTGATTCCGACCTGCTCACTCCCCAACCAACCCGCTACCCTCTGCCTCCGCCCGGCTGGCTCCGGCCTCCTGCTTGTCCCTCATCCCCCCCCACTCTACCATCGGCGACCGAACTTTCAGTCACTACGCCCCCAAACTCTGGAACGCTTTCCCTCAATCCCTCCGCCTCCCCCCACTTCTTCCCCTCTTTCACAACTGAAAAGGGACTGTGGGATGGAGTTCCAAAGGGTGGGGCAGAGAGGCTGAAGTCCCGACCGCCAATGGTGGGGGTGGGGGGACGTGGAGAAGGCTGAGCGGAGGGAGCAGACAGGTTGAGAAGGCCACACAGGTAGGAAGGAGCAAGGCCATGGAGGGCTTTGAGGGCCAGGACGGGGATTTCGAACTGCGTTGCCAGGAATTATAAATTTATATATTTTGTTCAAAATAATTTAGTCAAAAGATGGGCTGACGTTTGGCAGCTCTCGGCCTTCGCTGCCTTTAGCCGAGCGAGGGTGGGGCGGTGAACACGTCTTACTGCAAGCTCACCTCGTCAAAGGGGCAGGGAATCCTCCCCCTCAGCTCCTGCTAACCCCACAGCCAAAGCCCTAACTAACGAGGAGGGGGGTCCGAGCCGGACAAGCAGCGGGAAAGCTCGGCCAGACAGCGACATCAATGGCCGGAGCTGTGTGTGGGTTTAGATGGTCAGACTCCAGCAGTTACCCCAACGCACACTCTGGGGCTCTCGCCAACCTGGGTCTAGTACTCTCCGGAATTGGGTAAGCAGTGGGGGGGGGGCGTCCCTCCAGGGAGAAAGAAAGATAGAGAAAGAGAGCGCATTCCATTCTGACAATCCATCTCGGGGGTTTCCAGGTGTGGGGGGGATATGGGGAATTCTCAGTTGGGTTTGGAGGCTCTTAAGCAACGGTGATGGGTTTCCGTGTGTGTCAGACACCCGGCCGGTCACGGTGACGGGTTTCCATGTGTGTCAGACACCCGGCCGGTCACGGTGACGGGTTTCCATGTGTGTCAGACACCCGGCAGGTCACGGTGATGGGTTTCCATGTGTGTCAGACACCCGGCCGGCTGGGCAACTTGGTCGCTCAACCCACAGCTGTTTGTGAGGGACGCTGCTGTGCGCAAACGAGATGGGCCGCTATCTGAAGGAATACCAGGACCTTCTCAACGTGAAGATGGCTCTAGATATCGAGATCGCAGCCTACAGGTAACACGATCACAACCCAACCCCAGGCCCCAACCCCAAACCCCAAACCCCAGCCCAATCCCCAAAAGCCAACCTCAACACAACTCCAGCCCAACCCAAACCCCCAACCCCAACCCCAACTCCAGCCCCAGCCCAACTCCAATTGCCCTCCTTTGCCCCATAATCCCTTGATCCCTTGTCCTAACAAAATCCATTCACCTCGTTTGGTCTTGAAGATGTGAATGGATCCAGCCATAATCCACCATCTTTTGGGGCGGAGAGAGGGAGAGAGAGTTCCAGATTTCCACTAACCCTTTGCGTGTGTGAAAAACTGCCTCCTGATTTCACTCCTAAATGGGCCTGGCTCTAATTTTAAAATGATGCCCTCTTTCCCCCTTCCCCCCCCCTGCCGCCGCCCCCCTTGTTCCGGATTCCCCCCACCCCACCAGAGGAAACAGTTTCTCCGTAGCTAAACCTCGATCATTTTAAACACCTCAATCAGATCAAACTCTCCCAACCTTCGAAACTCAAGGGAATACAGACCAAGTTGTGCAGTTTCATGTCATTGACTTTGACTTCTTACCCCCTCCCCCCCTCCACCACTCACTCCTACCCCCACCTTCCCTCAACTGCTCTACTCCTTCTGCCCAGGAAACTGCTGGAGGGAGAGGAGACTCGCATCACCTACTCCAACGTGGGCAGTATGATGAGCGGTTACTCTCAGACGCACAGCACCCCTATGTTTGGGAGGTCCACGTACTCTCTACAGAGCAGCTCCTTCCTGATGCCCAGCCGGCTGGTTCCTTACGGATCGTACTCCGGGAGCCAGGCCGAGGAGGAACTCGCCCAGGTGGAGGAGACCATAGAACAGACGGAGGCAGAAGAGGCTCAGATGCAACCTCCCACAGACCAGGCCGAGGAAACAGAAGGTGGGAGTCTGATACAAGAACATAAGAAATGCTAGACGTAAAAAAAGACGAAGGTCCATCTAGTTTGCCCTCTGGCTACCTGGGGGGTCGCTTGTACCTACTGTCCTAAACTCCCTGTGTAATATACGTTAAAATACTATTTATTATTAATATTATTTCCTAAAAAAAATCTGTCTCATCCGTGATATAACACAGTAAACCATTTGACGCAGCGCCTTATCGCATCTTTGAGACGTCCCAAAGCGCTTCACAGAAATATCCTGTAAAGTGTAGTGACCGTGTGTTTTGTGGGGGCGAAACACGGCAGCGAATTGCACTCAGCGGTTGGGTTGGGTTGGGTTGGGTTGGGTAGAGACGCACTAACGATGGGAATCCTTTCTCTGTCGAGGTGAAGGCGCGGAGGGTGAAGGGTCTGAAGAAGGAGGTGGTGAAGAAGAAGAAGAAGAAGAGGCGGGAGGAGAAGAGGAAGGAGGAGAGGAGGAGAGCGAAGAGAAGGACGAGGGGGTAGAAGGAGACGATGAACAGCAGGAGGAGGAGAGCAAAAACGGAGCCGAAGAGACGTCCAAGAAGGAACAAGAGAAGAAGTAAAGTGTTAAGAAACCGGTGCCATCCATCCACCCAGACCTACACCCACCCACACACGCACACACACATACCCACCACACACACCCACCCACCCACACACATACCCACCCACCCACCCACACACACACCCACACACGAATCTGAGCCAAAGACGCTACGCAAAAGAGTTCCAATGAGAGATAATGCTTTTTAAAACAAAATACATTGCATTGCTTGCGTGACTGCTAACTTCCTGAAGTTTTAAGCATGGTTTATCTTCCTGGGAGTGTTTAAGCCAGGTGGTGGCGGTGGGGGGTGGGGGGGGGGTGGCGGGTCGGTGGGGAGTGTTGTGTGTGCGGTGTGTGAATGAATACGACTCGATCCACCACGAATGTAGTTTTAAGGAAAAAACAGCCTCACTGTCACAAGGCGGTACTTACAGAATATATCGATAAGACGCACACACACACACACACAGAGCAAATGCTCTTTAGATTATCATTACAACGAGGGCAGGGAGGGGGGAGGGGGGGGGGGGGGTGAGGGGTTGGGGGGGGTGCGGGAGACACTGTGGATGGTGTGATAAACACAAATAAAAGATATTAGTCCAGCCCAAACCGTCTGTGAGTTTCTTTATGCAATCAACAACAACTTGCTTTCGCGCCTCCTCCACTCTGAATAATAATCCTTGAGTTTGACCCCGGCGCCTTATCACGGCTTCGAGACGTCTCGAAGCGCTTCGCAGGCTACGCTGTAAAGTGGAGCGACTGCGTGTTTTGCGGGCGAAACGCGGCAGCCAA